AAACCTAGTCCCGCCTGAACCTGGACGACGGAGTAATCAATCAAGCAAAATCAAGCCTTTTATTGAGGTTATCTCTAACACTACAAAATAAGGAATCTTGAACCGTGACCTGGAGGATCTTTCTTTCTCCGATAGCCAATACTAGAATCTTCTTTTGCAGGCGGTAAATTATAGAAAACGAAGAGCGCTGCCTGCATGTAATGTGAGCGCCAGTAGAATGGGTGCAGATGCCTAAAGCAGCTTGACCTAAGCCAACAAAAACTGGACAATACGGGTCCGTCCCAGAGATTAATCCATCCCAACGGACGATGTTGATTTACTTTAATTTACTTTTAAGTCTCTTTATGCATAAATAAGTAATATATTTCTCTTTAATTACTAACCCATGCCAAGTAGGGTCAAACATTTTTTTCAATTATTTCTCCCATTTGGAATTAGTATTATCTGTATCCTCCTCGTCTTTTTCAGCCGTTTTCTCACGATTCTACTCCGCCTCGCAAAGTTTTATGTCGGCTCAGGCTATTGGAGAAGATTTGGCTCTGGCACTCGATCTGGCACCAGACATTCATCCTCCTGAGTGCCTGCTTCAGCTGAATCTTCCTGCATCCTCCAATTCAATACGAAGTTCTGCTCACCTAAGACAGGGTGATGCTGCGAGTGAATTACTTTCTTTTACTATTGCTTTATATCGAACCGATTTTCCTTATGACCGTCTGTTTTGGGTCAATCTTTACATTGTTCATTTTTTTTGGAATCAATGACTGATGAAAACGTATGATCAAACACTGGGGGTGGCATTAAGCAGTTCCTAGAGTCTAGGCCATTATAGGGACATTAAAGCAAATTTAGGCTATTTATCCACTTAACAACAAAAATATGGTCGAAAGCTTTATAATATTTTGGATGAAAAATTCACCAAAAGAATAGTTTGCATCCTTTTTTGCCTCCCACTCATTATCAAACCACCTTGGTCGTCTCGAATTTATTTTCAAAGTAGCTTGGAGTTGGTGGACTTTAGGGAATCATCTATGAAGATTTTGCCTAGTCCTAGAAATTTCACATTGACCCCAGCCCTCATTGTATAATATATAACTTCCTTACTCCTGAAATCGTCATGCATTTTGTGTCGTTTTATATCGCAGCCATCCTGTAACTCTTATGCATTTACATTTTTCAAATGAATAGCCAATCTCTATTATTGCATGTTTTGCCTTTTACTGAAAACGGCTAAAATAAATCTTCCTGAGTGAAATATCTATAAGCCACAAAATGTCAAAAAAAGCAGATTTTTGCCTATTCTCTTGAGCGAACTGGGTATGGTAAAATATAAATATGAGCTCTGGTTCC